GTGCCCAGAGCTGCCGAGCCAACGACCAGCGTGGGCTGCTCTCCAAGGAGGACCTGGTCCTGCCTGACTTCCTCCAGCTCCCTGGGCAGGACGACAGCACCTGTGAGGGGTCGGATCAGCCCCATGCCCCTCACCCAGGTTCCGAGGGAGACGGCCATCCTCAGCACACAGAGCCCACGCCAGCTCAGCCTCCGGTCGACCACGAGCTCCGATGAGCCCTGCTGCACATCCGCACCTGGTGCGTGGTACCCCCAGGCCATGCTGGGGTTCAACACAGGGCCTGACCAGCCCCTGCCCTGCACTACCGACACTGCCTGGACCGCAGATATGTCCACGTCCTGTCCCAAACTGTCGTGTCATGTCGCTGTGAGTGGTTGAGCCGCTGCCATGCCCCTCGGTGGGGTCACATCCTGGTGCACATCAAGGGAGTCCTGTACATAGTTTGAACCCCTGTTGCAAAGCACTTTGCAACATCCCACACATGCTTGGCACTGTCCTGCCCAGTGCCTCTGCCTGCGGCAGAGCTGCTGCCTTGGCAAACCCTGCCTGTGCCGGGCTGGCATAGCCCCACAGATTGTTCGGGTGTGGAAAGCACCCTGCCAACTGAAGGGTGTGCGAGATAGAGAGGACACGGGTGGATGGGATGGCAAGGCAGGTGCCAGCCCCAAACACTGGTGCTGTGGGTAGGCAGGGTCAGGAGAACATTTGTCCGGAGCTGAGGGCCAGATCCAGTCTCTGACCCCACAGGAACAGGCGTTCCTCTGTTGATGTGTGGGTCTACCCATCCCGGGGAGGGTGAGCATGGCCCTGCTGGCCTGTGCCCTGGGCAGGTTGTTACCATCTGGTTTGTGTGAGCGTGGCTGGGCCTGATCCTACCAGGCTTAGCACCGTTGTGGAGCAGGGCATGGAGCTGTACATGGTTCCTGCCCTGAGCAGACAAAGGCAGAGCCAGCAGGTTGTGCCAAACAAGCCTTCCTCCTCCCTGTAGGGAGATCCTATGTGGAAGGCTGCTGAAGGAGCCAATCCCTGTAGGTCCCCTGCTCTGGCCTGGATGGGGATAAGGGTGCTCAGCCCTTGGGGATGGGCCTGCCTGGTGTCAGAGAAATGCAGCACCCCTGGGTACTGAGCATCTCAGCCTGGTGTGCAGGTACCCAATGTGTGCCCAGCCTGGCATCCCTGTGCTGGGCAGTAACCTTAAGTGTGGCTCTGCTGGAGGTGTCTGCCCAGCAGGTCCCCATCCCAGGCAGCCCCATGTCCCCAGAGGTCCCAGACTCAGTATGTGATGGAGACAGCCCCCTGACAGCAGCAAAGAAGTCCCTCCATCATTCGTGTGTGCCAGGACCCTACCCTGGGTCACTGCTCTGTCACCACTGCCCACCCAGAGGCAGAGAGGTGGACCAGGGCTCACCTGGGGATGGTGGGTCATGCACACCCAGTCCCATGCTGCCATGGCTGACTGCCGCCCCGCGGCCCTGGTCAGAGCCTCCCTGTGTCTCCGTGGTGCTGCTCAGTCCTGTCTATGGTGTGAAACCGGGGAAAATAAAGAGCATTGCCTGGACATGTGTCCCTCTCCTTCCTCCGCTGCCAAGGCCGGATAGTGCTTTTCCCAGCAGCAGTGTCACCTGAGCCCCCATGGAGCCCCTCCAGGACCAGGGCTGGGCTGGAGCCAGCCCCTGGCCCTGGTGTCACCCTGCCCAGCAGCAAGGGGCAGTGCCAAGAGCTTGTTTTCCTAGCACCACTGATGGTGTTGGGGAAGCTGCAGAGCCAGCACGGCCAAGGACTTCAGCCCCGACCCTGTCAATGAGTGACAGCTGGAGCTGCCAGGGCCTCACTGGGTTAATGATTGTGGGGCCAGCTGGCCAAGAGCCCCCCCGGGCACGGGACAAACGTGGACATCAGCCTCCTGCCCACTGCAGCCTGGCATGGGGCTCTGCAGGTGCCGCTGGCCGCATCCCCTGTTCAGAAGTGTCCCCAGGCACCGCAGAGGAAGGGCATGTCCCCTCCTGTGCCACCTCCCAGGGATTCAGCTCCATCAGTCTGACTCAGCAGAGGCTCAGTGATGCTCCAGCAGTGTCAGGGATGTCCCTAGGCTGTCCCCGAGAACCATGGAGTACTCAAAGGATCACAATCACAAACAATCACAGCTCACTTGTCCATGGTGATGGGTCCTTGGAGTGTTCAATCCTGGAGAAATGGGGAGATGGCAGCTGTGTGACCCCTCCGTGCCCACTCCCCACAGGTGCCTGGGCTGAAGGGGCCTTTGACCCCTGGCTCTCCCCCAGGCAGACACGGAGGCAAGCTGGATGGGCGCTTCAAGGGTGGATGGAAACTTGGCCGAACGTGCGTAAACAGCGGGTAATGATAAATGGTGTCAAGGAGGTGATGACGGCAGCACTGGTGTCACTTTGCTCCTGCCCACCCCAGCACCAGACTTGCTGGGAAGATGTGGGCTCTGCCCCATGCAGCCTTAGCAGTGCTGTCGGCTGCTCCACGCTGAGCCAGTGGCACAGGCTGAGCCAGGCCATGTGCCGCTGTCACCACCAACCACAGGACACAAGGACCGCGCCAGTGATGGCGTAACACCCTGGCACTGAGGACGGCACACGTCCTGGACAGAGCTAGATCCCTCACAGCTGATGCTTAGATGTGTCCAAGGATGGTGGATGTGTGCGTGGCCTCACCTCCAGTTTGGGACACCTCAGAAGCGCCAGCACCAAGCCCTTCTCCTCCTCCTCTTCCTCTCATGGAGGGGATGAAGCACCCGGCACCAAGTGATGGAGAGCTGAGGCTGCTCTGGCATCACCTGGGCTCCAGCAGTGCCCTGACCTTGCTCCCGCTGCACCGGCTGCCACTCGCCCAGGGGTGATGCTGAGCCTTGGGCAGGCGAGGCGGGGCATGCGGGTGACATGGTACCCCGGGGGCGCATGCCCCGTCCTGCCCCAGGGCTGCAGCTGACGCGGGATGCTGCAGGGTTACCCATTAACTGCAAGAATTTCTGGGGAGGAGGTGAGCAGCGAGCAGAGGCGAGGGGCAGCGTGGGGCTCCTTAGACTTTGCTCTTGGCGTGCATATAAAGGGCCACAGTTCCCCATGGGCCACTTCGCTGGAGGGACATGTGGATGTGGCATGTGGACATGGCATGGTCCTGAGTGCCCGGCCAGCCTCAGGTGAGCAGGGCCCTGGGCAGGAGGGGTTCCCTTCCCCTGTCCCCTGTCTGCCCTTGCAGGAGCTTGCTGCATTAGCACAGCAGTGGCCAGTGGCCATGGGGACCATTGGGTGATAGGATGGTGCTTCTCGGTGGTGCCAGCACCACAGGGATTTGGGGGGACGGTGGCAGTCAGTGCAGCACAGCCATGGCTCCACCATGGTGACATGTGGCCACCTCTGCTCAGCCTCAGCAGGAGCGATGCTGCCCTACCGGAGGGAGAGCCCGGCCCTGCCCCGCTGCCCCGTGCGGGGAGGAAGGGTGGTGCACGGGCCCCAGTTCACCTACTGCCCCAGCCCCCAAGGTAGGTGCCCCCAAGCTTCCTCTTCCTCATCTTCCTCGTCCTGCCAGGCTCAGCTCTGCTTTGGGCCAGGCCCTGGTGCAGGCAGTGCCCAGTTTTTCTCTGCAGGGGGGTCCCCATGAGGATGGGGCCATAACACAGGTGCCCTTTCTCCCCAGCTCTGCATCGGCTGCCGGGCGCCCACGCCTGCCCCTTCGCTGTCAGTGCGGTGCCTTGCCCTGACCATGGCTTCCCCTGCCCCAGCTCCCCGGGGCGCCTGGCTGAGGGCAGGGAGCGGTACGAGCTGGATGCACTGCCCTGGCCGGGGCCTCGGCTGGGCTTGGATGAGCTCCAGAAGCCAGGTGAGACACTGGGATGTGGGCATACAGCACCTAGTCTGGGGAGCACAGTGACCTGCCAGAGGCACACAGGGAGGCTTTGGGGTGTGTGCCAGGGGAGCCCAAGCTTTGTCAACCGGGGACAATCGGCACAGGGCACTCCAGGGTGGGAGGAGATGGAGGGGACCTGGGGAGTGGTGGCATGGCTGGGGACATGAGCCCTGTCCCACCAGGGGCACAGGAGGATGGCATAGGGCTGTGGGAGCCCGGGAGCCAGGGTGGTGCCACAGTGGCTTTTAACATTTTCTCTTGTCTTGCGCAGAGCTGGGGTGCTGGGCCAGGGTCCAGTCCATCTGTGTCTCCCTTCTCAAGGTGCCCCTGATGTTTGGGTTCCTGTATCTCTTTGTGTGCTCCCTGGACGTGCTCAGCTCTGCCTTCCAACTGGCCGGAGGTAGGGTGGCAGGGGCACCTGGGCAGCTGGTGGCACCCACCGTGCCGGCACCCTGCCGCTTACACTCTCTTGCAGGCAAGGTGGCTGGGGACATCTTCAAGGACAACGCCATTCTCTCCAATCCGGTGGCTGGGCTGGTGGTGGGCATCCTGGTGACTGTGCTGGTGCAGAGCTCTTCCACCTCCACCTCCATCATCGTCAGCATGGTCTCCTCGGGGCGTGAGTGCGCCCAGGGGGCTCCTGGGGACCTGAGGCTGTGGGACAGTGTGGCCTGAAGAGGTCACCCTGAGCCGGGCCATGGGAGCTAGTGGGTCTCTCTGTTCCCAGTGCTGGAGGTGCGCTCTGCCATCCCCATCATCATGGGCTCCAACATTGGCACCTCCGTCACCAACACCATTGTGGCCCTCATGCAGGCTGGCGACCGCAGTGAGTTCAAACGGTGAGAGCTGGTTGGGGCAGAGAGGAGTTGGGGACCTGGGGGCTGCTCCCTGGGGGCCACCCCATGCCAACAGGCTCCTCTGCACAGAGCCTTCGCTGGCGCCACGGTGCACGACTGCTTCAACTGGCTGTCAGTGCTGGTCCTGCTGCCGCTGGAGGTGGTGAGTGGGTACCTGCACCACGTCACCCGCCTGGTTGTGGCCACCTTCAACATCCGCAGTGGGAAGGATGCCCCCGACTTGCTGAAGATCATCACGGAGCCCTTTACCAAGCTCATCATCCAGGTCTCCTCAGCCATAGTGTGCCCCAGGGGTGGTGTCCCCAGGCTGGTGGGAGCTCCCCAGCACCGGTGGCGATGTTCCCAGTGCTGGTGTTCCTTTGATGGTTGTATTCAAGTGTCCCCAGGCTGGCAGTAGTGTCCCCATCCCAGTGAAGAAGTCCCCAACCTGTGGGTGCTGTAAGCCCCCAAGGGCTCTCTCCAACATGTATGATGTTGCAGCTGGACAAGTCGGTGATCACGGGCATTGCAACAGGGGACGAGAGCCTGCGCAACCGCAGCCTTATCCGTGTCTGGTGTGGCCCTGCACCCCCACAGGTAAGAGGCCTATAGCCCTGCTGGGGCCACCAAACAATCCCATGGAGGGTGAGTGTTGGGCAGGGGCTGGCTGAGAACGCTGTGCAGCTGGCTGCAGTCCATCCTCTCCCTACAGACAGCTGCTGTGGGGCTTGGGCCCCCCCCAAACTGCACAACCCCAGGCCACTGCAGTGCTAAGGGCATTGAGAGCCTCCACAACGTCACCAGGCAGAAGTGTGAGTGGTTGTAGGGGACTTGGACAGGGCTGAGGGGCATAGTGCACGGGGCAAGGGGCTGGGGAGGTGCAGGAAGGGCTGGGGGGCTGTATGTGGGATGAAGAGGTACTGGGCATGGGGCTGGAGTTGTGATGTGGAGCAGGGCTGGTAGATCCTGGGGTTGGGGGTCCAGGTGTGGGGCTGTCTGGAGGGTACAGGTTTGTGAGCAGGGCCAGGTCAGTCCCAGCCCCTTGCCCAGCTGTGCTGTGGGGCAGGCGAGCACCTCT